TACAAGCAGGCAGAGTGGGATCGAAATTCCACGCCAGGGCAGATAACCTGAGGACAACTTCAGGAGATTACCACAGTGATTTAAATCTAGTAGGTGCTGAAGAGGCCAGTAAACCATAACGTGTCACTCTGTTATTTTATTTGGCAGAAGTATTCTAACACTAAAGTAGGAACTTACAAGTCATTGTCCTGGTAAATCATTATCCTAGAACCCAACAGCCCCCAAGATCAAAATCTTCACTCTGCTGTGAGTCAAAATTCCATGCCTCGACCTTCATCTTTTGTCCCTGCGATGAAATGTCTTTCGGCATTTCATTATCACCCTCTTCTTCCTGGAAAACTCTGAAGTGCTTCTGCAGGGAGTCATTGCAATTTTTTGCTACCTTGAACTGTTCAAGAATTAAAAAAAAAATACATTTTTGTGTTCATGTATAGGTCAGAAGACAGCTTTTGGGAGTTGGTACTCTCCTTCCCCCGTGGGTCTCAGGAATCGAACTCAGGTCAACAGGCTTGCTGACAAGCACCTTTTTACCTGTTGAGCCATCTTGCTAGCCCCTCTTTGAAACTTTCTAAAAGAACATCTTTCGGGTTGGAATGGAGATGTGACAGATCACTCTTTGAGCATGCACGAGGCTCTGATCACTACCACCACAATCAGTCAATCAACTAATTTAAAAGAACACCAATTTTTATTTATTTAATGTGTGTTGTTTGCATGCCTGGTGCCATGGAGGACAGAAGAGGCCATAGGCTCTCCTGGAACTGGAGTTACTACGGATGGGCATAAGCTGCCAAATGGGTGCTCAGAACCAGATTCTGGTCGTCCGCCAGAGCAGCAGGTGCTTATTCACTCGGCCATTTCTCCAGGCCCCCCCAACCCTAGTCAAGAACACCTTTTATAACTGCAAAAATATGAATGTTTAGATTGTTCAAATTATAAACTAAAACTCCTAGGCTAGAGAGAGAGGCTCAGTGTTATGCAAACATGGGTTCTGGTCCCCAGAACCAATATAAAAATCCTGGTTGTGAGGGATCACTGGGGCTTGCTTGCTAGTCACCAACACAGCTCCAGGTTCAGTGAGAGACCCTGTCTCCAGGGAACAAGGCAGACTGTGACAGAGCAGGCCACCCAACATCTTCTTTGGCCTCTTTGTACTGGTGCACTGACCCCCGCCCCTTTACACCACACAGATAAGCAAACTCCGAAGAGAAGCTTGGCTGACCCGGGAGCCGGACTCCCCTGTTCTATTTATTATGCCCATTATAATCTTGGGTAAGAAAGCTTTGCATCCACTTCCTCCTTTGAAAAATAGGATAATAACTACCTTCAGCAAAAGATTGAGACACAAATATAAATGAATATGTACAGGGGACAGGGACAGTGGCTGGCACACTTTAAGCACTGCACGAATATTACTTACTATTATTTTTTGGAACTAAGTTTTTACATTGTTTCCTAAGTGTATACAAAGTTTGCCCAATTAATACATTACCTATGGTTCAGGATATAGTCGATGTTTTCCCATGATAACTAGTATTTACTCAATAGGTACATACAAGCCAACTCTGTATTGACATACCAGATGCTAAGGCAATTCTTCAAAAAGTGATGTATTAATAGGTTACAGCCTTCAAGAACATTGAACTTGAAGTGAGGAAACAAGCTAATGAAACACTAATGTAGCAGCATAAGGCCATTAAGATTAAACACCAAACGGAACCTTGTAAACACTTGACACACAAAGAGTAGTTGTGGGATTCAATTACAGAGGTGAGGCTGGAGTAACCCTACACACAGGGGCAGGAAGGACCTAAACAAATGGAAATCGATGCATTTGGTGCAATGTTTATCCTACAAATGCTTTTCCTGGCCAGGCTCGGTTCTGGGCCCTGGGGATAAGCAACAACTAACTCACAACAGAAACCGGCTTGCTTTCTGTGGGCTAAAGGGCTCCCATACCAGAGGCAAGCTTTCCATTGAGTTTTGGCAATGTCGGGGATAGGACCCAGCGCTCCAAGCATTCTAGGCAGATTGTCACACTAAGCTGCATCCCCAGCCTAGGAGCCAAGTTTTGAAGTGAAGAATGAGACAGGCCTGACTTCCTGTCATGTCTCGGGGGACTTAGTGACAGGAACTGAGACTGCTACAGTCACTGTGACAAATGTATAGAAATGGCTGACGTGAATAATTTAGTAATTTTTTCATGTATTTATGTATCTATTCAATTGTGTATAGATATTAAGGGAACAGTCTCCATATTTTTTGACACAAATGACCTGAGAGATTTACAAATTCATTGTCACTATTACTAGGATAGATTTTGTTCATAGTTGCCCAAAGGAAAGCCTAATAAGGCCTTGCCTGTATAGCTGTCTGTTTTGGGGATTCCTAATCTTGACTCACTCTCTCCCCTTTTTCTGTCATCTACCAATGACTGGCCCCAAATCTCAAAGCTTGCAAAGTGCTTGAAGAGGCACCTATGTGGCAGCAAGAACTATTCACATAGCAAAGTATTCACTCCAAAGACAACTTGTATCCTTCTCTTTTCTACTTACCTCCCTCCCCCAGAGACAACGTCCTCAAGGAAAGAGAGAAACCCTTTCGTAAATACCAACCAACAAAAAGCTCCTCATGACACACCATCGGCATTTTCTGATAGTTCCAATATGCTAAGTGACCCACAAGCACAAGCTTCTAACCACTTCCCGCAATCTGTCTAATCTTCCCAGTCAGTTCTACTCTCATGATCCAAGACTCTACCATTAACCTCACAAACCAATTTTAGAACTGTTCTGGCTACATAAATCATTAATTGTATCTTTATAATTAAATTCTAATCTTATAGTGGACACAATACTGAATATGTGTTTTAAGGTACTTAAACCCAAATTAAAAAGTTAGGCATATACAACTTTTTGTCCTGGAACTCACTCTGTAGACCAGGCTGGCCTGGAACTCAGAGATCTGCCTGCCTCTGCTTTCCCAGTGCTGGTATTAAAGGTGTGTACCACCACCACCCAGCGAGGCACATAAAACTTTTACAACTACCTACAATACAGAAAATCTAACACTCTTTTAATATTCAAATGCTCAGTGAAACCCTGACATTCCTAGCTGAGTGTAGCAGTGCACATTTCTGATCCCAGAACAAAGGAGCGAGAGGCAGAGGCTAGTAGGTCTCTTGAGTTCAGGGCTATCCTGGTCTACATAGATCTACTCGAGCCAGGGATACATAGACACCCCTCCACCTCCCCACCCCGCCTCCTGGTCTAAAAACAAAAAGAGACAGAGACACTCCAGCAAAATCTAACAGCCTGCTCGTTGTTGCTTTGTTCGTTTGTTTTTTTAGTCTGGTGTTGAAAAAAGATCATGTCACACAGTTGCCCTTAGGAACTGTACTAAGACATACAAAGAAGGACCCTGTAGTAAAGGTCGCCATGGCTCTCAGTACCTTCGCCTGATGCGCACCTTAGCTTGTTCAATTTTTGGCCATATTATGTAATAGGCACTTGGATAAGTAAGAACTACAAGGCTTTGTAAACTATTTAATACCCAATGGGATTAACTGCAATTCTATGAACTTTTAAAGCCACACTAACTCGTTAAGTTGTTGTTTTTTCAAATGTGATCAACACCCTTATTTTAACAAAAGAAACAATTATTTAATGTAGACATTCTATATAGTGATGCATTCAAATCAAACTCATGTGTTGAAAAACTGTGAATATTCTGTGCTTATGCAAAAAGCCACCCATGAAAACGAACTGATATAAAACATCTATGAACATCTGGCACTGTCCTGGCTAACACGCAGCAAAGGGAACGGTTACCACTGTTTCTAATTTTCTAACTTTAATCTCAAATTAAATGCCAAAAAATTATATACATGATTGTATAATGTATGTAAATGCACATGTACTGATACTACACAAAAAAAAAAAAAAACCCGCTGGTATGTTACTGTATCTAGAGGAAGGTGAGTTTGAAACAGGCAAGACAACTTGCTGAAAGTTACAGCATTAATTATTTACTCTTTCTCTGCATACCAATTCAACAGAACCGCTACAGTACGAGCATGAACTGTAACTACAAGTCAGTCGATCCTGGAGAACTTGCCCCGCTGGAATAGTTAAGCCCTTAAGCACGTGGACAATGGGCCGCTTTATTTGCATGGGCATGGCCGGACGGACCTGGGGACGGATCGGTTTAATGGCGAAGCTGCCATCATCCCACATACACTCATCACCTGCCTCACGCTGGGAAACGCAGCCTTCGGGTCGCTACGCAGAGTTCTTTTTATTTTTCTTTTCCCCCTCCCCTCCCTTTTGAAAAAACACCCTAGCCATTCAAGCAGAGAATGAGAGAGCACCCGGGCCACGTCCAGTTTTAAAAACCCCTTGGATCGCCTTGGCCTCGCAGCGGGGACGGTGAGGGGGACCGAGAACCCAGCCAGCTTCTTCGGCGGAGCACGCGCAGACACCCCGAGACCGCCCCACCGCGGAGGAGCCCGGACGCCCTCGGGCCTGTGCCCGCCGCCGCTTCCCGCCCGCGCCGACCCGGGCCCGCGGCACGGCACCGCTCTCCGCTCTCGCCAGAGGCGGCACCCGGACCGCCGCCGCCGCCGCCGCCGCCGCCGCCGCCGCCGCCGCGTCGGGCTCCCATTCCGAGAGAGGGAAGGAAGAAAAACCAATAACAAAACCTGGCTTCTCGTTCCCTCCGGAAACCGCGGGCCGGCAGGAAGTGACGAAGGAGAGGTCGTCCGGTCCGCCGGGTCTCGGCCCGCGCTCCCCGCCCGACTCCCGGAACAGCCGGAGCGGAGCGGAGCGGAGCGCGGCACGGCGGCCTCCGCACCTCCGGAGCCGCTGAGCGCTCGCCCGCTCGCCCGCGCGCGCGGCCGCGTCACCGCCCCGCCCCGGCCGGCCCCGCCCCGCCCCGGCCGCGGTCGGTCGGCTCGACGACGGGACGGACGGCTGCGGCGGGCTGACGGTCCCGCTGCCCGCAAAGTCGCCGGCCGACCAAGGCGGGAACGCGGACGGCCTGTCGGGAGAGGATCTTGTCCTGTGTGCCACCGGGAGCAGATTGCACAGGCTCGGGGACGCGGCTGGAGGAGGCCAGGTTTGGGCGTCGGATCTGTGTACCCGCCTTCTGCCCCTCCGTGCCCGGGGGCCCGTGTGGCCTTGGGATTACAGAACCACCACTGTCACCTGTTACAGAGTTGCAGCGACTCAAAGCAGGATGGTTGCAAAAAAGAAAGAAAGAAAAAGAAAAGAAAAAAAAAAATTCAAATGTGGACTGCCCAGTCCACAGGTCCCAGATGTCCTCCTTCCTCTGGGAAAGGGTGAAGGCCTGTGAGCGTGTTCCCTTCTGCTTTAGGACCTCAAACCTCTTAGGGCTTCAGAGAATCAGGAGACTCTTCCCCTAGCAGTGCCTGGATTTTGTTGCTAGAAATGGTGTTTAAGCTGCATTCCTGTGAGGAAATAACCAAGTTCCACATGAGAGACCAGAATAACATTCTAGGGCATGATAGCCAGTGATGCTCACTTGTAGGATGGTGTAGACAAATTTAAAAAGTTAAGATAGTGTCCCATGATTATCCAGAAAAGGATGCTTCTTCACCTAGAAGTAGGTCAGCCTTGAACTAAATCCTAAGGGATGCATTTTTGACAGCATTAGTTCTGAATGCTCATGTTGACTTGGGCTTTCATTCTCTCATTCATCTTCCTACTTCAGTAATAGTTCAAGCATTACATCTCAGGACAGCTGAGGGGAGGAATCTGTTTCCCAAGAGAGCCCTGAATGTCACCCCCAGCATATATCTTACCAGACTATTAACTTGACAGAAATGAACCCCTGGACATTTTACTTTAGCCCAAAGATGGAGGGTGCATGTATATGCACACCCTTGGTTAGTTTACACCAAGTGTGTGGGAGGGCTGGTACAAAGTACCCCGTCTGCTCTGTGACTCTGAGCTCTCTCTCCATTCCTGGTTGTCTTACAAAGCATGCTCTTGGTTGTGTCAGGACTAGCAGGAGAGGCCTAGCTTCAGCGCCAATCCTTCACCACTGCGGGTCTAGGATAACTCATACATCCCAGGACCCGTGGAGTGGCAGTGTTATTGCATACTACTGATGTTTTGTGTTACGTGACGTATAATCTCAGGTTAACATTTTGCCACTCTGGACCAGCAGTAATCAAAAAACCTTTTTTCTAAATACAATGATAGAGTGGCGTCCTAGGAAGAAATCATGCTCTTTGGATAGGGGTACATCATTCACTCAGCGGCACACGGACAAAATTTTGTCAAAAGTTGTAGTGAGAAATTAATCTGGTTCAGATCCACTTGGGCATTAGGAAACACTTAGTTAATTTGTCAGGTAAATAGACGGCACTCACTCCGTGTCCTGGTGGCGGTTGCCTTATTCTCTGTTTCTTCCCTGATTTATGAACTCCCAGTTCTGAGTGCTGCTCCGGTTGCTTCCTTATTGGCCATGCTCTCTGCAGCGCACAGTCAGGCACTTAAAACTTAGCTTCCCCCAAACATGATCATGGTTATTGCCGTTTTAGCACCTTGGCATTTACAATGGTCGAAATACCACAAATTAAAGACAATTGTTGTGTTTAGTCTTCCAGAAGTCTCTGCATCTAAAATAGACTGGTTATTTACTATAAATAAAAAAAAAAAATCAGAGAACTCCTGGAATTAAATTTTAAAATAAATAAGAATCGAGCACGTCACTGTCTCCTACTCCTGCCCCTTCCATTCAACCAAAAGCCCATCCCTCTAGTTGTTAATATTTAGGAGTTATGTCTGCCGTCACGTTTAGATCTTAACGTTTTAAGTCTTATAGTGAAGTTCTGCTTATTGTTCCTTGACCAAAATATTTTTCACAAGACGGGGTTTGTGTCCATCAGACAGCAATACGTGAAGTTGCTCTTGTCTTCAGTCTCAGGAGTTCAAACTAAAGGTCTGTTTCTGTTGTCTGCGCTACTCTAAATGAGCGCAGTAGGTCTCCACACATCTGGCGAAGACTCCAGATGTGAGAAAGACGAAAGCATGCCCCATGGCTTAGAGCAACCCTTTCCTGGAATTTCATTCTGTGTTTTATACCGACAAGTGGGAAGGAAGAAACCACATGCTAATTAACTGGCCAAGGGAAACGACATTGATAGTATTTGCATAACTTACCGAATAGACTGCAAGGTATTTTTCTAGAAGAATTTCTGCATCACCTTCATTGTTGAAGACAGAAACGAAAACCACGAAAGCTTTGTAAATAATTTCTAGGTCATTTCAGGCATTGCTTTTTTTGGTATTAAACCGTGCCTTGTTGTTAAATACTACAGTACTCTTTACCTGCCATTTGTTCATTCTCCTTTTTATAGAATGTCTAAAACACTTCTGAACTGCTTTCCTGGTTTACGTCATTTAACTGAGACTTTCCTTGTATGTTCAATACAAGGGAGGAACTTTGTCCATAAGGAAAAATTCAGTTCTCAAACATAAATTAAAAAAAAATTTTAAAGACCCCTTTATTCTTTTACTTGCTGTTTGATACACTTGTGATTATCAGTCCAACTTTCTGTGGGAATGTCCAGAGAATGCATGATTATGAATAAGTAGCCATGTAACTTCTTATCTCATAGTTTCTTTTAGCCAAATTTGGCAAACAGGCCAAGTTTGGTCCAGCTCCAAATGTGCAGGCGTATCGGGAGGCACCTGAAGAGCAGTTAGTGTGGCCATGTGTTTTCTGGGTTGCTGTTGTGGGAGAGACTGGCCTTCTCTGACTCCTACCTCTTGTCTGGGTCTGTGTTCTGAAGGGTTCCCTTGTTGCCCTCTGAGTGACAGCTACAGTTTGGAGACTGCAGTAGCATTTCACAGTCAGGTGTTAGCAATATTATTTTTTACCCTACACTTGAACGTTTATGTAAGTAAGAGTTGTACTATTTCAAAATTAAAAATGGGGAAAATATGTGTTTTATACCTTTATGACCTATATCTGGGGTCAGTATCCCTTTTCCTAAAAGAGCCAAACTGAAAATATTTTTTAGACTCCATAAATACTGAGGAAAATGGAGGCACGTAGGCATTTAGGATCATAATGTACCTACTTAGGGACTGCAGGGTAGCTCAGGGTACAGAACATGCTTAGTATGTATGTGACCTGGGTTTGATCCCCAGCACCTCAAAACAAATGCAAAGAATGAATGCCATGTACCTGTTTCACAGTGTAAAGTCATCCTTAGATGTGGACCATACACCAACAGTCAGTGGCCATGTCTCAGCCACCACACCTTTTGTTCTTTCTTGCAGATCCCATGGCTGGAAGTTATGGCATGATGGGTGATGACGGGTCTATTGATTACACCGTCCACGAAGCCTGGAACGAAGCCACCAATGTGTACTTGATAGTGATCCTTGTTAGCTTTGGCCTCTTCATGTATGCCAAGAGGTAAAGAAGGGCAGAGAAGATACTGAGCACTTGGAGTTTTAAAGGGTTAGGATGTGGGTTGTTGTTGTTTTGTTTTAGTTGGATTAAATGCATCAATATATTTCTTCAGAAAGTGTGTTCCTGGACTGGAAGGTGTTGTCTACACAGGCATTGGCTACTGAAGTTTGATCTGGAAATCCCATATTCGTCAGGGTAACAGGACCTGCTGCTCTAGAGTTTGGTTGCTGTCACTTCTAAAGTAGCCCAACTTTGTTACCAGCTTTGGTACACTGTCCCCTTGCAGTGAGCACACTGTAAAGTATTTTTGGTCCAAGTGTCTGAAATGCAAAAACACTTAATGCCTATGTAGTCAGCAAACCTCTGTCCACCTGTTGGACCTTCTCCTTGATTCTTATGCATGGCACTGTATCAGTTTGCTTCCTATTGCTATAATAAAGACCATGACCAAGAGTGGCTTGCAGAGGAAAGTGTCTGTTTCAGCTTACAGGCCATACATAGTCCTTGAGAGAAGTCAGTACAGGAGCTCAAGAGAGGAGCCTAGAGGCAGAAACTGAAGCAGAGACCATGGAGGAACATTGCTTCTGGCTTGTTCTCCATGCTTTGCCCTGTTTGTTTGCTTATATGACCTGAGACCACCCACCCTCAGTGAACTGGGCCCTGCCATGAGAGTCATAAATCGAGAAAATGCCTTACAAACTTACCTACGGGACAGTCTGATAGTGGCAATTCCACAACCAAGGTTCTGTCTTCCCAGGTGACTCCAGCTATATCAAGTTGACAAGAAACTAGCACACTACATCTCTGTTCTTTATAAAAATGTCGGTTCCTCAATAACAAGAAATTTGTCTTTTATCTTTGTGTCAGTGATATACCCCATGGTCCAAATTCTTAATAGACACTTTTCTGCCTTCATTTCTAGGGTAGCTTCACTTAAGTGCCCTTTTCAACTCCTCCTGGTTTCTTTCCCCCAAATCCAGCAAAACAGTAATAGAACTGATGATGGTGGTGGTGGTGGTGGTGATGGTGGTGGTGGTGATGATAATGATGATTGTGAAGGTAGTGGTGATGGTGGTGGTGGTGGTGGTGGTGGTGGTGGTGGTGGTGGTGGTGATGATTGTAGTAGTGATGATGATTGTAGTAGTGATGATGATTGTAGTGGTGGTGATGATGATGGTGATGATGGTGGTGATGGTGATGATGATGATTATGATGATTGTAGTGGTGGTGATGATGGTGATGATGACTAGGGTATATATTAAAGAGGAAAAGCAGTATTCTGCTTGTAGGTATATACTTCAGGACATTCTCTACTGAGGTTTTAAAAAGTCATTAAGTAGTTTATTAATAGTCCAGAATAATTTCTGTTTGGACTTGGATATACCTCATTTATTTATACTTTCCCTCACATTGCCATGTAGCTCCCTCTCAGTGGCTGGACTGCTGGTATGGGTGTAAGAAGGTGCCACATGTCATCACAGATCCCTGTGACAACTTCTCTCTCAAAAGAGCTACCACCTCCTTCCCACTTTTCTTTTAAAAGCAGAGATGCACTGCTCTTGTTTCTAAAAAGGTATCTCCCTCTGAAACTGTGTCATTAAAGAACATTTTTACTCATGAATTTCCCAAACTAAGGTCTGTTCACATCCGGCCTACTCCCCACTCCAGTGATTTCTCTTTAGCTGGATGTTGTGAAAGGGAGGAAAAATGAATGCTTTCTTGTTTATATACTGCTGTTTTTAATATGCCATTTTCCCTAGGAGTTAAGGGGAATCGCAACAAATGGGCCTCATTTGGTATATTATTTAGCAATATAGTGTCATGTGTATTATAATGCATTAAGCATCTTTTTCGTTGTGATGCCATAGCTCTACATAGAGAGCTTATATGTTAGCAGAAAATAGAGTACTTCATAGAAAGATTTTGTTTCATACTTTTAATAGATCGTGAGACATAAGTATTGAAACAAATCTGCATTGGTTTTGTGTTCTAGGAATAAAAGGAAAATTATGAGAATATTTAGTGTGCCACCTTCAGAAGAAACCTTGTCAGAACCCAATTTTTACGACACAATGAGCAAAATTCGCTTAAGACAACAAGTGGAAATGCATTCTGTTTGTAAGTATGTTCTTTGCCGAGCTATGTGCATGCCGTGTTTAAAATAGATCTTCTATTGCGCTCAGTTAACAAAAGGTTATAAAACATGGTTGCTTATAAAAACTTAAGCCTTTTCAGACACAGCTAGGCAGATTTATCCCAAAGTTACTGCTGTTAAATAAATCTTCGGCTTTTCTGTTGCCTGAGGCCTTCTATTCAGCTCTGCAGAAACTGAGATTGTCATCATCAGTGGACACCCCTATTTCTTCCTCTTCTGATTTCTCCTCCTTTGTACTTCTCCTTTGGGATGAGACTGAAATGGTCAAACAACAGAACACCCAAGCAGTGTAAGAGTGACTTTCAGGACTTGCAGAATCCAGGAACAAGGCCAGAAGTTCTGTTTGAACAATGTTAATACATCCTATGGTACTGGCTACTGCAAGCATGTACACAGGAAAGAAGAAACAAGTTTTAAAATGTATAGGTCCAGAATCAACTATACATTGAAGCCCTTTGTGCCATTACTTAAAATATGAAGGTGTGGCTTCCATGGTGCATTGGGTAGGAGAAGCAAGGTGGTACTTGTATTAGAATGCCAGGTTCTTCTCAACTGTCAGCTTGCTGGGATCTAGAATCACAAAGGAAACAGAGCTCTGAGTGGGTCTAGAGTAGGTTCATTGAGGGGGAAGATTTACTCTAAATGTAGCATGGCTCAGAGCATAGGCTGAAGTCAAGGACAGAGTCAAAAAGGAGAAAGCTGGCTGGGTAGGAGCATCCGTCTCTCTGTTTCAGACTGAGGATGCAATGTGCCTAGCCGCTTGCCAATCTTCCTACCACATCTTCCCTACTAGGATGGACTGTGTCCTAAAACCAGAAGCCAAAACAAATCCTGCTTTTCTTAAGTCGCTTGTGTTAGGTATTTGCCATAGCATCAAGGAAGTAATACATTGTTGTAAAATCAAGCAAACAAAGCGCTCCTTTTATTATCTCTCTGTAAAGTAAGTATATACATATGTGTATAATATGAGTGCCCCATGTAGTGAGGCAGCACAGAGATGGGACCAGCTTATTGAGCTCACATGCGTGTTAAGTGCTGTTTGGAGTTGAGTGCAGGAATACTGCACAGACCCAATGTCTCTAATTGTATGTCTCCAATTGTATTTTTCTGTCCCCTTTAGTCTTTATTGGGTGAATTCTTTAGGGAGGTACAATCTTCCTAGTGTCTAGTATTTTCCCCTTCACCAAATTCTCCATCCTGTTCAGGACATAGAATGCTATCTACTCTGTGGTGGTATTGTGTTCCCCAAAATATTGTGCAATCTAATAAACTTATCTGGGGTCAGAGACAGAACAGCCACAATATTAAACATAGAGGTTAGGCAGTGGTAGCACACGCCTTTAATCCTAGCATTCCAGAGGCAGAGATCCAGATGGATCTCTGTGAGTTCAAGGCCACACTGGAAACAGCCAGGCATGGTGACGCATGCCTTTAATCCCAGGAAGTGATGGCAGGAGCAGAAAGGTATTTAAGGTGTGAGGACAAGGAACTAGAGCTGGTTAAGCTTTTCGGCTTTTGAGCAGCAGTTCAGCTGAGATTCATTCTGGATGAGAACATAGAGGCTTCCAGTCTAAGGAAACAAGATCAGCTGAGGAACTGGCAAGGTGAGGTTAGCTGTGGCTTGTTCTGCTTCTCTGATCTTCCAGCGTTCACCCCAATACATAGCCCCAGGTTTGTTTTATTAATAAGTCCTTTTAAGATTCATGCTACATTACTCAATATTGGGGCTCAGGGTTCCCCCTCTTTTGATACATGGGCTGAGTTATGTACCAGGCTGCTGGATGTTTCAGCACTTGTATGAGCCTAGAGCTCCTAGACAAGCAGGCACCAGCTGCTGGATGGGGAAGATGGGCCTGTGTCTCTGCTTATCTGTTGTTCCCTGATGAGTTCTAAATGCACCTCATGCTGAAAATGGACCATAATTATTTATTTCCTAGTCTCTAAATTCTAGTCTCCCTTTTATCCAAAGCTTATTGGTCTTATTTTTAGATTTACTTTAACTTTTTAAATTGATTTAATATTTTTTACTCTATCACAGGGCTAATGGTCTGGTCTACTGTCTAAAAGCATTAGATTATGTGGGTGTGTTTTGGGCATTTGTTTGTTAATTTTGTTTTAATGGGTTTTTGTTAAAACTTTATAGGGAAGAATGTATCACTCTACTGTAGTTAATACTTCTGCTACAATTACAAAGGAAGTTGGGAATGAAGCCATGAACCCTTTCTCTTTTTTAAATCCTTTTGCCACTCTGTCAAGGGATCATCCCTTTCTGAGCTTTTTGTTAATTCATCGGCAAGGGTCTCTGTTTCAGTTGCTGCCTCCAGGTTCCTGCCTTGACTTTGTTCTATGATAGACTATAAAGTGTAAGTGGAAATGCACCCTTTCCTTCCCGAGTTGCTTTTGGTCATGATGTCCATCACACTAGCAGAAAAGCACACCCGGACACACACCCCTACTGCCTGCTGCCTCCCCCAGGTCTTCATTTTGTAGAACATGAGGAGGTTGTAAGCAAGACAGGCAATCCTGGACTTTTAACCTGGATCATCCCTGTTTCTTTTTGAGGGGAACATAGGCATTAACTCTCAGCCTCACTTCTCTTAAAAGTCCCCTAGGTCTTATTTGAAGTGTTGAGGAGAGACCAAGGTCTGGCAGAGCAGGACACCGGAAGGTGGGATGGGATGCGTCTCCTACACATAGAGACCAAGGACTTCTCTCCAAATATGGCAATCCTGGAAGATGTCCATCTCCCAGATTGTGAGAAACAATTACCCTCACTTCAGAATAAGTGGAGTCTCAGAGTACCAAAATCAAGACAGATCTATTTTCAGCTGACTGAAGTCAGCCTATACAGAAGGGGAAAAAATGGCTGTTGCTCCTGTTTGGTACAGAACAGTGGCTTTTAAATCCCAAGTTGTAGTTCTTTGCCCCTTTTAATTCTCCTCAGTTGAGTTCTTTAGAGAGATGCAATCTTCCCAGTGCCTCAGCTTTGCTTCCTACCCCAATTCCCCATCCTGCTGGCTCCAGATCTGGCTGTATCTAGTGAGTATGTGGGGGCATTTTTCATCCCCTCCTCCCTCTGTAGATGGGCTCAGTCAAGTAGCAGACTGCCTGCAGTTTTTCATCCCAGACACGCAGGTGCCAACGAGGGAAGGTAGATGCCGGTGCCTCCTGCTTATCTGGGTTTTCTGGTGAGATCTGAACACACCGCACTCTGAAAGTGGACCATAACTATTTCTTACATGTTCCTCCCATTCCTCTCCAGCTCCCACAGAGCTCCTACAACCTCAGGTTGTTCTAAAACACAAAACCAAACCCATACGTCCAGTAGTATGTGCATGGGTGGAGGGCTGTCCCCTAGAGCTTAGGTAACCCTACAGTGACCATACCCTCAAAGAATGAGTCTCCCTTCCTCAAGCAGCTGTTAACTGCCAATTGCTCTTCAGTGAAGCCTAGGGCCTTGAGAGCTCCTCCCCCATGTATGCTCAAATTTTAGTTGGCTTGGTCTTGTGCACCTCTACATCACTGCTACTATGAGCTCTTGGGTACCAGAGTCATGTTATTTCCAGAAAACATAGTACTTCTCCCCACCCTCTGTCTCTTATGGTCTTTCTGTCTTCTCTCCTGCAATGTTCTCTGAGCCTTGGCAGTGATGGGAGGTATGCTATTCAATAAAGATGTCCCATTTAGGGACCAAAGAGACGACTCAGTGGTTACAAGCACTGGCTGCTCTTTCCAGAAGATGCAGGTTTGATTCCCAGTACCCATGATGTGGTTCACAACCATCTTTAACTCCAGTTTCAGAGGATCCATTTCCCTTTTTTTTTTTTTGCCTTCTCAGGCACCACACACACACATAGTTCACACATATACATGCAGATGGAATACCCATACATATTAAACAAATAAAGGACATTTAAAGATGTCCTGTTTAAACACTAAGTACTTACTCTTAGTGCTTTGAGCAGTTATGAGTTTCTTCATTGACTGCTGCCAACTGCCAAATAAAGTCTATAAGCAAGGTTGAGAGCAACCCTTTTCTATGAGTATAAATATAAATTGTTGCTGCAGGCCACAGGAATATATCTTAAGAACTCAGCTGGTTATGGCAAAGTCACTACCTGAAGGGATCAGGGAATTCCTCCAGAGGAAGCCAAATTCCAAGGAGTTTTTGGTGTTACTTGGCTTGTTATATATCAGCTGTATTCTGTTATGAAAATCATGTGTGCCTTCATAGTTTTCCCAATTGACTTTTCCCTAAGAAGGGCTAACAGTGTGGACTGATCACTCTGTGTACATACACATTCCAGGTATTTGGAGAACAGCCTCAGGAAAGGCTTTCTCTGGAATCAGATATCTCCCTTAGCCACTTTCAAGGACTAACAGTGATATGCTAACCGGTCATTAGCACTCAGTTGACCTTCTCTTTTACCACTCCCATTTTGGATTGTTAAAGAAAGTCTAGTGGTCACTGCCGGAGGAAAAATTCTTACTTGCCTTTTTGACCCCCATAGAATTCAAGCCTGGTGACCTTGCTTGACCAGGGTCTTGATATAACTAGATTCCAGGGAGACTTAGGTAGAATGTGGAGAACAGAGGACGGAGAAGAGAAAAGAGAATGGAAGAACTAGATGGGTAAGAACTTGAGAGGAACAAACTGAGATGGGAAAGAACTAGATTGAAGGGCTAGAAGAGATTACTAGAGGAATGAGATGGAAGATGAGGAAGAGTCAGATGAGAAAGTCCTAGCTGGGTAAGAACAAGGTGAAAAGGACCTAGATGAGGCAGAATTAAGATGAGAGAATTAAGATAGAACTTAGAGGGAGCAGTAGATAAACAGAGAGAAATCAGGCAAGAAAGGAGCTAGACATGAGAACAGAACTAAAGCTGTGTGTAAAGGATGTTATGCCAGAGGAATTAAAGCAAGTGGACTATAGCGCTCAGTGTGCTGAGATTCTATTTCCCAAAAATAGTCCTTGCTGTTCGTAGTTCTCTCTCCTGAGCCCCTGGGATGTATAATATTAAGGCTGATGTTAGTTTTTCGGCTGCGTTGTGTTCTTACCCTGCAAGGAAATGCCACGAAACACGACAGAATCCGCTAACAAGAGTTTTATTAAAGGGACAGAGAGTGAACAGGCCTGCGGGAAACACGTGTGTGGAGAAGAAGGAGGAAGAAGAAGAAGAAGGAACCGGGAACATGGCGCCGGATTTTAAAGGCTGGGCGTGGACAGATCAGCATCACTACTACACGCAAGCGCGTAGATCACATGGCCACGTTGCGCGCCTACGTAGCCAATGGAACGTCACGGATCTTGGTCACGCAAGATGCCCTGACCCGGAAATGGCTATCCTGACCTGGAACTGGCTAGGTGGAAGTGTCTGTTGGGCATATGCGAACACGCCCGACCGTGGGGGCGTGTTGTAAACCTTTCAGCTGATCCCTCTAATTTTATACAAGAAATTGTTTGAAGGCAATATGACAACCTGACCATTTAGCAAAAACAGTTTCAGGTTCCCTCTTAGGAATTACGATCTCCTCGCCATGGGCTTTTGTCCAGGTTTACAGTACCAGGCATGAAATATCCAGCTGTGAAATATCCAGCTGTGGAGCAGACCTCCCATCTAACCAGAAAGTGGTTGGTTACTGCATAACAGTCATGCCACTATCGCACCAATGGATACAGCCTGTCTGGCAGGTCAGTATCGTAGCGCGTAGGATCCAGCGTGGGGTAAGACCATTCGTGTCTTTTCTCCCCCAGCAACAGGCATGGTATCTTCAAGCACTATGAAAGCTAGGTGGTAGGGAGGAAGTTTTCCAGTCTGAGATTTCTTTCTCTGTGTCCTGCAGCTTGAGTGTGGTGGTTTAGCAGTAGGGTCTTATTGTGTATTACATTGAGTAACCAAGGGCAACACCACCAGCCTGAGTTGTCGGGAGGCCTCTGGGGCCAGTGACTCTTAGGGAGGTATCCCGTGCCCTGCACTGCCCTTTTTGTTCAATAACCCATGGCTTCTGGGAGCAGCATTGTCCACCCACGCAGGCACCTCTGGTCAAACTTTTCGTTTTTACAATGGTATTCTGAAATGATCTTACTAACTAGTGGGCTTTTATAAGACCATTTCATAGAGCCTTAGTTTGGTCAACCCACCCCTTCTCTCCTCCATTGCTCTGCTCCCTGCTACCCCTGCCTTCTTTCACGTGTGTTCTACATTCCTTCCCATCGTAGTTTTAATTGGATTGTGAGATGCTAGGTGTCCATGTAGCTTTTTCTTATTCTGTTCCTTTATGTTAACCATTCTCCCACCCCATTTCCCCTCCTCTCGTGTCCCTCCTTGCAGAAGCCTTTCTGCCCCACCCCCCATATCCCATCACTCTCCTTTGGATTTCTCTAGAATTTACTCCCACTCCTTCTGGTTCATTGACATTTACATGTGCTCCAAGCTAAACACACAAAACAGAATATTGGAAATTAGGTACACACATGAGAGAACCTGTGGCATTTGTCTTACTGGGCCTGACTTACCTCATTTAATGTCATTTTTTTTTCTAGTCCCATCCATATCCCTGAAGTTTTCATGATTTTATTTTTCTTTATAATTGAGTAGCATTCCACTGTGTAAATGTACCACATTTTCACGATCTGTTGATGGACATGTAGGTTGATTTTGTCTCATAGCTATTGTGAATAGAGTGGCAGTGAATTTGGATGGGCAAATGTGTCTGTAGTAGGTTACAAATTCCTTTGGGTTCATGCCCAGGAGTGCTAGAGCTAGGTCATATGACAATTCTATTTCTAGCTTCTTCTGTGGGCTTTTAAGTTAAATATAGTAAAAACAAAAAGGCAGTAATATCACAGCGCTGAAAATAAGTTGTTATTGAGTACTCAGCCCTAAGTGGGTTGTCTTTATCAACCCCCTCCCACAAGGCTCAGCGATCATCAAGGAAGGAAGAGGGTGGAAAGATGGTAAGAGCCAGGGGTTAAGGAAGAACTGCAAAAATAGTGTTTCCCACGTGTGACCTGTCGCACACACGAACTCACAGTGGCTGGTGGCTTGCACAAGATCAAACCAGTCAAGATTCCGGGACGGGTGGGTGAAGGGTGCATGAAACCCCACTCGTGGCAGAGAAGATGTGAACAGTTCCTGGTTGCTGAGGTAGAGAGTCAGTTTCTTTCAGGGAAATGGCCCCTGGTAGGTTGCCATGGTTCCGTGGGTGGCCCCACTACCATGCACATACTGAAACCACTGGACTTCGTGGGTTAAAAAAAAAAGCGAGGACATGAAGTTGGAAGGGAAATGTGCAGTGTTGAGAGAGTCTGAGAGAAGTTGGAGTGGAGGAGCAAAATTATGAACAAAATCCATGGTATACATGTGTATGTGTATATGAAATTCTCAATATATAAATAAAAATCTATTTTTTAAAAGTAGCAACGTAGGGTAAGAAAGGAGGAAACTTAAAAATTTAATAGCTTACTCAGTTTCCCCCTGTATTTTAAAGTTCAGAAGCGTGGGGTTGGGGATTTAGCTCAGTGGTAGAGCACTTGCCTAGCAAGTGCAAGGCCCTGGGTTCGGTCCTCAGCTCTGGAAAAAACAAAAACAAAAACAAAAACAAAAAAACAAAGTTCAGAAGGATCCTGATATTTAAATAATTGTAAATACAAGGTATATATAAATAGTGTCTAAATTAGAAGATCTTAGAATATAATTAACTTCCTCTAGAAGAAAAACAGTTGTTTAATTCTAAACTAATTTCTTACCAAGCATCATGATTTAATGATATTGTCTAGTAGTAATTTAATGCTTTATCTTTCTTGTCATTGTTTTTTCATAGCAAGAAAGTATGAGTATCAACAGCCGCAAAGCCGAGCAGACAGTGTGCAGCTCTCTTTGGAATGAAAGTTCAGACTGAGCAACGCAAGTGGTGGTGAAGCAGTGTGGCAGCACGCTCCTGCTCCCCTCTCCTCAATCAGGACCGGCATGCAGAGACCCTGTCAGACAAAGTCATCCCGCTGCCCCGCCCCACCCCACCCCACCCCGCCTCGGCTTTCTCTTGTTGCTTCTAGGACTTGCTTCATAAGCACAGAAACATTTAGAAGGAAGATGCCTTGTGACTAGAGATGAGGGCTTTCCCTTTTGAGGATGTTTGATGTCTTCAGGACACAGCAGAAAATACAAACGTGTCTTCGGAAACAAGAACCCTGGAGTTAATGTCACTTTGATTAGAATATTTTTTACAGAGTTGAAACATGAAATTCTCGCTCTTGAGGTGGTTTGCGCTTAGGTTGTGGCCTGTGATGATGAGTTTAACATCAGTAACAGACTGATTCATGTTGCTCTCGCTATGGTTACTGGCTCTGAGTCAGGGATCTTTGCTTCACGACTTGTATGGCACACCACTGAACTTGTAGTGGCTTCTCCATCATGAAGCATGTCCCATCTGCTGGTTGGGGATGCTCTCTGTAACTGGATCTGCCTCTCTTTGATTGTATTCCCCACACCTGTTATTTTGTTCCTGATCCCATATTTTCCTTGCCTCCATAGGGCTCCTTGAGGCCATAAGCCTTGAGCCTGTTAGACAAAGAGACATCTTTGAGACCTTGAGCCTGTTAGACAAAGAGCCGTCTCTGTCTAGCTGTTGGTACTTAACTTCCCCATGTTTCTCTGTCACTGTTGAAAGTTACTGTCTGGTGTCTTCTGCTTTATAAAGCTTGGTTGAACACGCAGCTGTCGTGACTCGTTCTGTTATATACAATGGGATGGTTTTTTTAGTCTAACTTTTCATGTTTGTTCATGTAAAAGCTGCTTGGAGCTAAGGGTAGAAGCAAGACAGACCCCAAACCGAAAGCTACAGGCCTGCCTCTGGAGAAACCGGAACTGGGGGACACAGCACAGTAGGAAATGAACCACACAGGAGACATGCTGCAATCCGCTTTAGTTACTGAGTTAATGGATGATCCCTGAACCAGGAGTCTATGGGGCAGACTACCTGAAGCCTGGATGAGAGCAGACAGCGAAAAAACAAGAAAGATCTGAGCAACCTTCAGCTGGGTCCCACCACAAACATTCTAGTTTGATTCCTGCCAGTGGATCGCCTGATCAAACACAAATCAATACTTCAGCAGAAGTGAACAGAGTCAAGGGACCCTGCACCACATTGTTCTTCATGTCCAGTATAAAACCAGAGGCAAGAATGGGAAGAACAGGACCTGAGACCCATCGTCAAGAGAAAAAGCAGTTAGTACAAGTGGGATCCCAGCATGTCCCATATGTTAAATCAACAGACAAGGACTAAAAGCAGCTGTTGTTCCTTGCATCCTTAGCCTCTGATGGCATGACTTCAGGGGTTCTCAACAAATTAGATCAGCCCCTTGCCTCAGACATCGAATGAAAAAAGTAATGGCGAACGGCAGGAAAGGAATTTAAGAAATATAGTGGTATTAGAAGGTAAGGGGAAGCCGGGCGGTGGTGGCGCACGCCTTTAATCCCAGCACTTGGGAGGCAGAGCCAGGCGGATCTCTGTGAGTTCGAGGCCAGCCTGGTCTCCAAAGCGAGTTCCAGGAAAGGCGCAAAACTACACAGAGAAACCCTGTCTCGAAAAAACCAAAAAAAAAAAAAAAAAAAAAAAAGGTAAGGGGAATTCAAGCATCCCATCCAATCTTTAGGGTACTAGCATGAACTTCAGGTTTAAACAGAGGAAGATTTTGGACAGGAGCAATCTCAACCCTGCACACACATGTACATACACCATATGTGCGTGTGTGTGTGTGTGTGTGTGCGCGCGCGCGCGCTTGCATATAAACACACAATTAGAAGAGCAGTTCCTTTAAAAAAAATCCAATTTAAAGAAAAAACCTTGAGGTTGAGGTGTACTCGGACCCAGAGGTCTATAGGTGCATGGAAGATTCAGGAGCATGAGTACGGACCAGGGATAGGCTTGGGTTTAAATATCACCCATATCTTGCCAGGCATGCTGTGTGCCTCATGGTTCACCTTGAGAAGCTATACCAAGTATTAACTGCTCGGGGGGCTGGGGGGGGGGGATGACAGGATGCATAGCCCACAAGAGTGGTTTCTGTTTATATATGTTCTTTAAGTTACTTTATATGACTTATGCCAACAAAGAACTATTGCGGGGTTGGGGATTTAGCTCAGTGGTAGAGCGCTTGCCTAGCAAGTGCAAGGCCCTGGGTTCGGTCCTCAGCTCCGGGAAAAAAAAAGAAAAAGAAAAAAAAAAAAACCCCAAAAAACAAAGAACTATTGCTAGGATAAAGGCCATAGAGAAATGTCCGTGTCATAATTAAAAGACAGAAGTTCTTTACTTTCATTAACATAAAACAGCAGAGCTATGGTTATAAATCACATCAAGCACTCTTCCTTTCTAGCCTGTCTCCATTCCTTCTTATCAGCCATGGATTCACAGAAACACTTCCACCAGGGACTCCCAGTGGCACACTGGGCTGGTGCTCAGGCGATGTTCACTATCCTTCCTTATGATCTCTCCAGTCTCTCAGTCCTGTAGTGGCCTGCTTGGTGAAGCTCCTCCTCCTACCCCAACTCCATTCACTGGGGTCTGTGGTGGTATTGTGTTCCCCCAAATATATTGTGCACCCTAATAAACTTTCCTGGGGTCAGAGACCAGAACAGCCACTAGACAGACATAGAGGCCAGGAAATGGTGGCACTCACGCCTTCAATCCTAGCGTTCCAGAGTGAGAGATCCATCTGGATCTCTGTGACCAGGCATGGTAACACACGCCATTAATCCCAGGAAGTGATGGTAGGCATGAGGACCAGGAGCTGGAGTCCTGTTAAGCTTTTAGGTTTTTGAGCAGCAGTTCAGCTGAGATCCATTAGGATGAGGACACAGAGAGGTTTCCAGTTTGAGGAAACGAGATCAGCTGAGGAATTGGCGAGGTGAGGCTAGCTGTAGCTGGTTCTGTTTCTCTGATCTTTCAGCGTTCACCCCAATACCTGGCTCCCGGTTTGTTTTTATTAATAAGACCTTTTAAGATTCGTGTTACAGGGGTCTCCACCTCTTGGTGCAGATTCAGGGCATCCCAATCCCTTTCATCCCTGTCTATCCAGACTTACCTTTGTCCTACTTAAGCCTGCTTGTAGGGGTCTGTCCTCGCACCACATTTCACTGCCTTGGGACTGTAATTCTTGGTGCAAATACAACCCTTCTAACATATTCCTGCAGCCCCTCACAGCCTTTCCTCCTCGCTCACCTCCATTTCTTTCTGCCACCCACCAACCTGCAGAAGCTCTCTACCCGCTCAGTCACCACACTTTCCTAGGATCCAGAGAGGGCAACAGCAACCAAAGACCAGAACAGCCACCCAGAAAAGACCAGATAGCAACGTCAAGAAACACCTCAACCATTGTAACTTCAGATGCTTAGTCTCTTCGAAAACAAACATGAACAGCCAAGACAGTTCACTTCCATCAGAACCCAGTAATCCTATTACAGTAGGCCCTGAGAGATGCAATACAGCTGAAGTCTAAGGGATTTCAAAATAACAATTATGAATATGGTCAAGGACCTTAAAGAGGATGTGAATAAATCCTTCAACTGTGACAACACAAAGAAACAGTTGAATGAAATAATGAAAACAGTTCAAGACATGAAAGTTGAAATAGAATCACTGTCTTAGGGTTTCTACTGCTATGATGAAACACCATGACCAAAGCAACTTAGAGAGGAAAGGGAAACCAAGTCAGGAACTCAAATAGGGCAGGAACCTGGAGGCAGAAGCTGGTGCAGAAGCCCTGGAAGGATGCTACTTACTGGCTTGTTTCTCATGGCTTGCTCAGCCTACTTTCTTATAGAACCCAGGACCACCAGCTGAGGGAGGGGACCACCCACAATGGGCTTCGAACCTCCACATTCAATTACTAATCAAGAAAAGACCCTAGAGGATTGCTTACATCCCAATCTTATGGAAACTTTTTTTAAACTGAGGCTCCCTCCTCTCCAATAACTCTAGCTTGTGTCAAGTTGGCATAAAACTAGCCAGTACAATAAGTCACTAAAGAAAAAGAAACTGACATAAAAACTAGAGGTGAAAAATTTAGGATATCAAAGAAAAACAACAGAGGTATGAAGCCTCATGAACAGATTACAAAACATGGAAGAGAGAATCAAGTATTGAAGAACTGGATAGCTTGGTCAAAGAGACTTTTAAATCTAAAATAATTCAGACACAAAACATACAGGAAATCTGGGATGCTATGAAAAGACCAAATCTACAGATAATAGGAATCAAGGAAGGAGAAAAAAGGACAAAGACATAGATTATATTTTCAACGAAATCATAGAAGAAAAATTTTCAGTCCAAAGAGGTGTCTTGTAGAATATTATTTTAAGGTGTGTTACTTTTGTTTATGTTGCATTTGTTTAACTCTGTGACGCTGTGTTACTGTGCCTGTCTAAAACACCTGATGGTCTAATAAAGAGCTGAACGGCCAATAGCAAGGCAGGAGAAAGGATAGGCGGGGCTGGCAGGCAGAATATATAGAAGGAGAAATCTGGGAGAAGGTTAAAAAAAAAGTAGCCAGAGAAGGAGGAGGACTCCAGGGGCCAGCCACCCAGCTACACAGCAAGCCATGGAGTAAGAGTAAAGTTTACAGAAGTAAGAGAATGGGAAAAGCCCAGAGGCAAAAGGTAGATGGGATAATTAAAGTTAAGAAAAGCTGACTGAAAACAAGCCAAGCTAAGGTAGGTGTTTGCAAGTAAGAATAAGCTCTGTGTGTGATTTATTCTGAGCTGGGTGGCAGTCCCCCCAAAAGAGCCAAGAAACAAACAACAGTGCCTACAAAGGTACAAGAAGCATACAGACACACAGGGTCAGAAAAGAAATTTCCCACAACACATAATCAAAACAGAATAAATGTACTGCTGTGGGATGTTCTGTATGGCTCTGATTGGTTGGTAAATAAATCACTGATTGGCCCGTGACCAGGCAGGAAGTATAGGCGGGACAAGGAGGAGAATAAAGCTGGGAAGTGGAAGGCTGAGTCAGAGAGACACTGCCAGCCGCCATGATGACAAACAGCATGTGAAGATGCCGGTAAGCCACGAGCCATGTGGCAAGGTATAGATTAATGGAAATGGATTAATTTAAGCTGTAAGAACAGTTAGCAAGAAGCCTGCCACGGCCATACAGTTTGTAACCAATATAAGTCTTTGTGTTTACTTGGTCAGGTCTGAGTGGCTGTGGGACTGGCGGGTGACAAAGATTTGTCCTGACTGTGGGCTAGGCAGGAAAACTCTAGCTACATATGGCGCCCAACGTGGGGCAAGAGTTTCCACCTAAAAACTGAGAAAAAAGATTCTAAAACGGAGCTAAAAACAGTTCCTAATTGTCTCTCTCAAATGAGCGGCAGCTGCTGGTTTGAGCTACTGGCGGGTTCCTAGCGTGCGCACTCGACCTGCAGAATGGCGGGAATGAGGCCTCTGCAAGTGGCACATTAAGCTGTGTGGTGGATTTAGACTTTGCTAGTACAAAACAACAAAAAAAGAGGTTTCTGGGCTGTATGCTGCTTGGATAAAAGCATAGACCCAGGATAGCTCCCAGAGCTGGCGGAAAATGTACTACTGCCATGTTGGGAAGCTGAGGTGGGCGGAGCCAGCAGCCACAGCTGCTGCAGTTTAAAGCAATAGATTCACAATAAGACAGATTCAGATGTAATAGTTTACAATGTGTGTAAAATATAAGTAGACT